GGCCAGTAGGTGCTGAATATGTTCAAGGACCATACATAATAAAAAATGCATCCTTTGTCTTGCATGTGAGTAGGCAATTTCCTCTCTCTCTCTTGTCATAGTGTTGGGTTTACCTACACTTGGAGTGATATAGGAAACAACCCCTTGTAGACCACTGACTAATTTATAAATAGCATCTTCATGAACACTGTCACCATTCTATGAAGACTTCAGTATGATTTTCTTCATTCTACAGGCAAAGAATCTGAAGCTAAGAGATGAAATGCACTTCCCCAAGGGCTGAGCTCAGACTTGAAATCAGACTAGACTCCTGTCCACTGACTGGCAAACTCATTTGCATGATGCTGCAGCTTTTGTACCCTCTGAAATCTTTTTTTTTTGGGGTACCGGTACTGGGACTTAAACTTAGGACCTGGGTGCTGTTCCCCAAAGCTGGCACTCTACCTCTTGAGCCACAGCTCTGCTTTTGGTTTAAGAGTTTCACAGACATTTTTTTCCCTCTGGGCTGGTTTGAAATGGCAATTCTCAGATCGCAACCTCCAGAGTAGTAGGATTATAGGCATGAACCTCTGACCTGATGTTTTTTTGTTGTTGTTGTGGTCATGGGGCTTGAACTCAGGGCCTGAGCACTCTCCCTGAACTCTTCAGCTCAAGGCTAGTGCTCTACCACTTGAGCCACAGTTCCATTTCTGGTTTTCTGGTGGTTAATTGGAGATAAGAGTCTCATGAACTTTCCTGCCAGGGCTGGCTTTGAACTGCGATCCTCAGATCTCAGCCTCCTGAGTAGCTAGGATTACAGGCATGAGCCATCGGAGCCTGGCTTGGCCAGATGCCTTTTAAACGTACATTTTATCATTCTTACGTGTTACAGCAATTCCTCTTTACTGATCATAGATTTGATGTTTGTTTACAAATACTGTACCTCATTTTATCATTATTTGATGGGCTGCTACCTCCTCTTCCTCTTCCTTCTTCTCTTCCTCCTTCTTCACCAGAAATCTTCTGATATAAAATTATTTCAGTATGGGATGCAGAATTTGGAATTGAATATTTCCCTGAAATAGTTGTTTGGTTTTTTTTTTCACAGAGACACTAACTTACGATGTGCTTGTGAATCCTGCCTTATTTCGCATCTCCTCCTCCCCTTCGGGTTGGAATGAGGGGTGATTGAGCCCAGGATACTTCCTGGAGCTGCTAACCAAGCCTTCCATACCTACTGCCTGTGACTCCTCTCTTTCCCGATCCTCTTCCTTCAGGCCTCATCCTTCCCATCCAACTTCTTGCTTAAGTTGTTCTATAGTGAGACCACTTGCTGTCTCCATCCTGTAATTTCTTCAGACATTTTTCTTTTCCTCTTTTTCTCTCATCCACCTTTAGGACTTTGCATGTAATATTTACCCTCCACCTCCTCTGACTACTCTATTCTTCGTTGTGACTTTCCTTCTCTTCATAACTGAAGTGACGGTGTTAGGAACTTCGTTGAAGGTTGCAAGGTTATATGTCATACATTGACATATAAAACAGACACCCCTTTGTACAATTACTTTAAAAATAATTAAAGCATAATTATTATATAAAACATAATTATTATATAAAATGTGGGACAACTCACTGACATAACTAAAGGAGGTTTTGCATTCTCTCTGCTTAGTGACTTAGTTTCAGGTGAGTAATCCTGTAATCCTAGCTACACAGAACACTGAGATTTGAGCATTGTAGTTTGAAGCCAGCCCAGGCAGCAAAGTCCATGAGACTCCTGTTAACCACCAAAAATCTCCCAATTAACCACCCCAAATCTCCAGTTAACCACCAAAAACCAGAAGTAGAGCTGTGGCTCAAGTGGTAGATCACTAACCTTGCAAAACAGCTCTTGGGCAACATTCAGGCCCTGAGTTCAAGCCCCAGGACCAGCACAAAGAAAGTATAAGTTTTTTTGTCTTATACAGTATTTGAGACCTAAGCCCATAGAGCTGATGTAAAGCAAAACAAATAAATGCAATGCAGCGTATGCTTAGAGGTAATAGAACTATGTGTGCCATATTAATCTACTTTCCTTTTGCAGAATTAATGGTGTTTGTATGCAGATTCTGTGATATTAGTTAGTTAAGACTTAGTCATTTGCCTACTATCATAAGTAAGGAAATAGATTATATGCATGTGATTAGGTAAACCAAGTGAGAAAATGAAAATGATAGTTTTAGTTCAAAACACTATTATTAGCTATATCTGGGTGGTAAGCTGCTAAATAGAACTTTATGACTTTTCTTTTCCCTTCCAGCTACCTGATCCAAGGCACTTTGTGTGCAATACATGTGTCTAATACACGTCTGGACATGTATTGTTGGATGGTAATTCTTTACTACGTTGTGCATTTAAGATATAGCTGTAATATTAAAGACAGGGTTGAATTCTTTTTATGCAGATGAGATTTGCTTTAAAGTAAAGGAGATTAGAGACTTATTCCAACATTGCTTCTATTCCTGAAAAGATTCTGTTGAGAGCAACAGGAGTTCTATCTACATATTGCTCTCACTTTATTTCGCACAAGAATCCTTCATCCCGTTAATTTGTAGCAGCAGTACCAAAAAACTTCTATCTTTCCTTTTGTGGCACTGTTACCGATAAGTTCAATCACCTTTTGTTGTTTTAACTTCCTTGATTCTAAAATAATAACAGTGGTACTAAAGTATTGAACAGTTGGAAGAAAACATCGGAAGGACTTTTAAGTCAGTGTCTAGAGTATAATAAATTCTGGATGCCTTTGCTGTAGTGATGGTGGCAACTCCATGACAATTGTGACAAATGTGGCTGCTACTGTGCCTGACCCTTCCAGAGTGGTCTAAGAGCTCATTTGCACCAAATGACATTCAGCTTTCTATAAGCAACCAAAAAAGGCTCACAAAAGATATAGATTTTCCACTAATGGAGCGGTGAAAAAAAATGATTGCAGGATCTATTGTTAGTTCTGACAGTCAGTCCCCCAAAAGTTTTGAGAAATGAAGCGGGATGTGAGTAATGTCAAACCTCTTAGATAAGGTTCCAGGAGAAGTCCTCCACTGGATAATAGTGGCGATGGTTCTTCACCGGTTCTTGAAGATAGAAGTTGTTGGCATTTTGGTGTCTTCCTCATAGCATTCAGCACAGTGTGTTTATTTCATTTTTTAAGTGTTGGTAAATATTGTCATGCTTTCTGCTTTCACTATCGACTAATAATATGATGGTTTTCATTGTGATAACTCCATGTATGAGTACGGTGTATTTTGAAAAATTTTACGTCCTCATTTATATAGTTCCATTCTGTTTTTTCTCCCTTGCTCTTAAAACATGTTTGATGGACTTGATTGTGGTGATACATATGTACACACATATATGTATTGTGTTTTGATTCTTTTCATACTCCACCATCCTTTTCTTCTCTTTTTTCTGCCATTGATTCCTCCTTCAGAAAGCCCCTCTTTCAAATCTATATCCTGTAATGATGATGATGATGGTGATGAAATGAGCAAGAATATGATATATGGCTTATCTTTATGTATATTATCATTATCTTTTGTGTATGTGGTACTGAGGAATTGAACCCAGGGCTTCATGCATGCTAGGTAAGCACTCTACCACTAATCCATATTTCCAACCACTACTTGTCTTATCTTGTTCAATAACATGAATTCCTGCTCCATGTATTTCCCCAAAATGACATAGTTCCATTTTCTTTATGGCTGAGTAATATGCTATGGTTTGTGTACATCATATTTCTTTATCCATTCATTATTGAACACTTTGGCTGATTCCACAATTTGGCTATGGCAACACAAAGTTTTATAAATTGCAGTTGTTCAACCAATATGTTGATTAGGTGCTTAGATGGAGGCAAGGGAGAAGTTCTTCAACTGAAAACTGCTGTCCTACTTAAAAAATGAATTTGCATTGTATCATCTTTACCCACAATTTCTGAAAACTGCTCTAGTCGGCACTTATCATTTGACTTTGTATAACATGTCAATTTCATGGAACTTGCAATTCCTTCCAACGGTGATAGGATTTCCTTTTTATTATTGCTTCAAAATGGAAATAGGTGTTAGTATAAGGGCAAACTTTCTTCAATCAAGCTTAATAGAATTTGTTGCAAATAATTGAAATTTAGTGTAGGTAGGGGCCATCTTGTTAGAGTTTAAATACCAAGCATAGTTACTGGAACCAAGTGGAGACTTAATTAAGTTGTTGAACAAGGAATGCATACTATAATATGTTCATTTCATTTCACAGTTGAAGAAACTGGTGGAGATAATTTGCTCATAGTCACACAGTGACATAGGAGGTCCTGAAACCAAATGTCCCTTGGTGTCACCATGCTTTAATTATGGATCTCACATTTAAATTGTAATCGCTAGAAGACTTTAAGTTTAGTCTTTGCATACCTTTATTTTAAAGTAAGGATACAAATCAAATTCTTAGGCTTGTTCATACTAGTCTGAAGGACTGATTTCAAGGGAAACTAAAATGTCTGTAAGAATCTTCTCCAAAGTATACCTATTGGTTCATTTGCTTTCTCATACTGTGTTTCATTTTTTGTAATTTTTAAAAATTATCTTTACATAGTAGTACAGAGGAGTTGGCATTCAACAAAGCAGTTATGAATACAGTGCATCTAGATCATCCCTCCCTGCCCATCCTTTCCCTACTTTTCTTAATTTTTTAGAATATGTATTGAATTCCTTTTGCCATTTAACCAAAGTTGTTTCTGTACACAGTTCATCTTGATCTGTGTCATCCCTTCAACCTTCAACATTTACAAACACCCCCCCCCCCCCCACACACACACATGTTTCCTTTTTCTCTCCTATAGACTGTGAAAGTTTCCCATCCACTCCAAAGACTTCCAGGTCGAGCCTTTGTCTCTCAAGACACAACGCACCGCCTACTTCTTTCTCTGTGTCTCTTAGACTTTCAAAAGAAAAAACAAAGTTGCTTATCCTGTTGCTTCCTTTTCTGCTGTTTTACAGGATGGGAAAAAGGAGTCAAGTTCATGCACGTGTTTGAAGGGGCCCAAGTTGACAGAAATCGGGACAATTGCCTGGATGATAACGCTCAGTGACGCCCTTCACAACTTCATCGACGGCCTGGCCATTGGAGCTTCCTGCACGTTATCTCTTCTCCAGGGACTCAGCACTTCCATTGCAATCCTGTGTGAGGAGTTTCCGCATGAGCTAGGTGAGAGACGCTGCTCCTGTGGCAAAGGTGACTTCATCTTGGTTTTAGCAAGAACTGTCGATGCACCAAGCTGAAGCAACCATTGTGCGTGTTGATGATTATCTTGGATCTCAGTCCAGAAACCGAGAGAGAGAGAGAGAGAGAGAGAGAGAGAGAGAGAGAAAGAGAGAGAGAGAGGGAGGGAGGGAGGGAGGGAGGGAGGGAGAGAGATTCATTTGCTCTGTTTTTCCCTTTTTCTTTTTCTAGGGGACTTTGTGATCTTGCTCAATGCGGGGATGAGCACCCGACAAGCCCTGCTGTTCAACTTCCTGTCTGCGTGCTCCTGCTATGTTGGGCTGGCATTCGGCATTTTGGTGGGCAACAATTTTGCTCCAAATATTATATTTGCACTTGCTGGAGGCATGTTTCTCTACATTTCTCTGGCAGATATGGTAAGAAATTGAATCCCTTTGTTTGCTTTAAGAGGAAAATTGAAGAAGGGTGGCCTGCTTTCCAAAGTGCACAAAGTCATTCCCATTTCAATGGGTTCACTTGCACCAATGGTCACTTGGAAGTGGGTTTCCTTGATTCTTTTATCTCTGATCTTAAGGATAGTGAGTTTTTTTTCCTTCTGAAAATGGCATATTTACTTCGGTCTCTTTTGCTCTTGTGGTGCAAAAAGCTCTCTGCCCCGTGTAATCTTTTCCCCCTGGTTTGTGAGGATGTAGAATTGGAAGAGGAACAAGCTGGGAACTAGCATTTGGTTACTTCAAAGGCCAGAGCAGCGAAAACTTTTGGGGCAAGTCAAAAACTAGCACAAAAAATTGGGAAAAAATTAAAATTGGCAATATTTCTTTGGGACAGTATATATATGTAGGTCTATATTTATGTCATTGTCTTTATTCATAACTGTGAGAGTATATATGTGTGGTTAAAACATGTCCTGTACATGTCCATGGGAGTTGTGGATAACCTTCTAGAACATGCAAATCTAGTGCATAAAAATCAAGGAATAGTTTTTATTATATATGGGACTGAATTACACATATAATTACAGAAACAACGTAACTTAATATGAATTATATAATATATGTTGTATTTACATATAAGTTATAGTTATATAACTCATGTTGTATGAAGTTAAATTTATATCACTTATAAAAATTAATCCATATGTGTGATTATATATGTAATTCATATAACTTATATATGAATTCATGTAACATATATGAATTACATATATAATTTAAGAACTTAATCCTCTTCATATGAATTCTAGCTCAAATTATAGCTACCTGAGTTCATTGTTCTTTGCACATCCTTTCAAGAACAAGGATTTGATCTCTTTAAACCACTGCCACTTTTGTATTTTTCTCCACAGAATTAATGCTTTACACTATCTTGATTGTAGGTGGTCATTTGCCCTTTCTGTGATATAAGAGCAGAATCTATTAGAGATGTCCAGTTTGAAGAAGAGATACTAATAAATTATGTTCTATATCTATACAGTGGATTTATTTTTTAAAGTACTGGCTCACAGCTTTCATCCATTGTATCTGACTGGATTTTCGTAAGCCAAGTCCATACATTGACTGTAGATTCTGAGAACTTTATACATGGAGAAAATGCACCAAAGCATCTACAGAGAGTAATAAGAGAAGATGTTTTGAAAAGTTGAAGGGTAGATAAGATGCAGCTGACAAAGGGTACATTTTAAGTAAAACAGCATGGGGTTTTAATTACTTTCACTGTACTGGCTTCATCTTCTTTAACCCTAGAATAATGCATCATTTATTTAAGGATTTTTGTGAGGGTAGAACGAGCTAAAGGAAACAAATTGAGAAAAAAGGGGGAAATAAATACACGGCTAATTTTGAAAACTGTCCAACAAGCTAATATTGGCATATACTCTGTGCCAAGCCTAAAATAGTCAGGCCCTTAGACCCCAGGCAGAGTAAAAATAGGCACAGATCCTATATGCACGAAGTTTTCTATCTAGAATGAAGCAAATCAGGAACCAACCAAACAGAAGCCATGCACATGACTAAAAAAACTATGAGTAGTTTCAAAATTCAGTGAAATAAATGTGGTGGTGAGCATAGGGTCACTTAGTATAAACTAGGATAATTTATGGGATGCGATTTAAGATAAAACCTGTGGAGTTTCATCTATTGGAAAGTCAGAAGGAATGGAGTTCAGGAAAAAGTCATGAAGAGTGTGAAGAAAGGCACTGTGCATTTTGGGTGTTGAAAGAATGATGTGGAAGGAAGAGAGAGTGAGAAGCGAGAGGAGTGATCGAAACAAAATGAGAAAAATCCCAACAGACTCAGTTGAAGAACACAATTTCAGTTGTTTTACTCTATTGATGGTTGAAGCATTAATTACCCCAGCCACACAAGTTCTATTAAAGCATCAAAACATTGGCAGTCAATGCTCAGCTCTCCTGTAGAAATCTATGTGTGACCATTTTATGTTTGACCACAAGATGGCAACAGTTATCTAACAATCTATCTTCTAGTTTCCAGAGATGAATGATATGCTGAGAGAAAAGGTAACTGGAAGAAAAAAGGATTTCACCTTCTTCATGATTCAGAATGCTGGAATGTTAACTGGCTTCACGGCCATTCTGCTCATTACCTTGTACGCAGGAGAAATCGACCTGGAGTGATGGGAAACCGAAGATGGTCTTGTTCATGAAGGCATTTCAGAAATTAAAAGGAAATATCTCCAAAGGGATTTTTAAGCTTACCCTATTTAGTTAAAAGATAATTTTGTTTTCAAGATAATCGAATTACTGCTTTCAGACCATTATTTGTTGTTTAAAATGTTTCAAAAGGTTTTTGGTTCCCATCTGCAATACTCAGTGTATGGGTCTTCTGTAAAACTATGTTTTTCAGTGTTTTGTGCATACATTAAAATCATCATAAGGCAAGACACATGTGTTCCATAGTCATGTAAACACCCAGACCCAGAGAAAAATACAAGATGCGTCATGTATAGGTCACATAAGGCTTTCGTAGTAGGATGGAAGTTTCCAATGACTTCAGAATGGCTTTCTTGCCATCAGTTTGTTCTCATGCATCCAAGAGCAGGTACAGCCCAAATGTGGAAGAGAATGAAAACATTTTTAGCACAGATACAAATGATTCCAAGGTCTTAATGAACCCCAGAAAGAAAGATTGCTCCTATTGGATTTTAGCAAGTTGTAGGAGTGTTTTGAAAATGACATTAAACTACTGTGAATTAGGAAATCATCAAAGCCTTGCTTACCTTATGAAGTTTGGTTTAGAGCTTGATCTTTGAGTATGAACTCTAGAATTCTTATTTTGATTTAGGTTAGGGGTCTTAAATGGCAGAACAGTCTGTGAAGCCGTTGTCAACTGTTTCAATATACCCTATGTTTGTTTTGCAACAGTGAAGAAATATGTTGGTTGGGGGTGAAAGAAACTGAATATAATTTTTAAGCAATTTGCCTTTAAAGATGCAGATAACTATTTAGCAGAGATTATTTCGATAAATGCTGAACAACAGCTGGCCTGCTCTCCAGGAAGGACTGCTTAACTAGAAAATAGACATTCCTCATGGCTACTTGAGAGTCATTCAGGAAAGACTTTTGTGTTCAGTGTTCTTTTTTCCATATAGTGTATCTTGGAAAGATCATCACACCATGGCTACATTTCTACCCTTTCTAAAAGATAGAGTCTGTTCATTCATTTAGTAGGAAACAGAAAATTAGCTCAAAATGGAATATTCTAACCTCAAGGCACACTCCCAAGTAACTTAAGGAAAGATGATTTGACAATGAGGAAAATTACCATCAAAAGCCAACAGTTATCTCAGGAATCCTATTTTCCTGCATGTTTGATGAACATTTTCCATAGATGTTCATGTATATGTCACTTTATGATTGACAGTTTAAGAAATTATCACTTGACCAATAGTAAACCCCTTTGAAACCATGTCTTGTGTCATTCATTATTCATTTCATATGTCTTTTTTTAAAAAAGGGGATTCTATAGTGTTTTGGGGGTGTTGGATGAAAAGGAAATTGATGTGTTTATTTCAAAGGTATCTAGCAAATAACTACTACAAAGATTTATTATTCATCTCTGTGAAAAAAATCTATTTTTTGTTCATCTTTTACATTCAATCTTAATAAATAATCTTTGTCTTTTTAAATATAGATTATGTGTCTTATTTAAGAAACTATATCATTGGGCTGGGAAGGTGGTTCAGTGGTAGAGCACTTGCCTTGCATGCCTGAGGCCCTGGGTTCGATTCCTCAGCACCACATAAGCAAAAAAAGAAAAAAAAAGCCGGAAGTGGCGCTGTGGCTCAAGTGGTAGAGCACTAGCCTTGAGCTGAAGAGCTGAGGGACAGCGCCCAGGCCCAGAGTTCAGGCCCCACGACCAGACCCAAGAAACTATATCATTATATAGAAACACGATAGTTTAATGATCCTTGTTGTATATGTGGATTATAGTCTTTCATTTATTCAGTTTTGGTGCTCAGTCTGGGGCTTGAAATCAGGGCCTGGATACTGTCCCAGATATTTTTTTTTTTTTTTTTGCTTAAAGCTAGGACTTTACCACGTGAGCCATACCTCCACTTTGGGCTTTTTGGAGATAAGAGTCTCATGGAGTTTCCTGCCCAGGCTGGCTTGGAACTGCATTCCTTAGTTCTCAGTCTCCTGAGTAGCTAGAATTATAGGCATGAGCCACCATCTTCTGCTTAGTATGAGTAATTCTTGCTACCCTCTCTCCACGTGCTTGCTTCTTGTTATTCTGACCGTGTGCTTTGCTGTTGATCATTTTCCTTAGAACAGACAACAGAGGTAACAGGGCAAGGAAGACTAAAAAGAAAATGGTCACTTAGTAGAGGCCATGGTTGAAGATAAAAGGGAGCAAACAGAAAGCTATGATTACATTTAAATGACTCGAGGTAATGTTTCAAATAGCTAACCCTTTTGGTCAAGGTATCTTTTTCCAATGCTTTCATTATACCAGCTAAATACAATATTTAGACTATAAATGGGCTGCTGGGACAAACTAGAAATGATTTAACCAGATTCTATATTTGTCTATGTATATATATATATGTATTTTTAAACTGTATTTATTTTTGGTGCAAGTACTGGGGTTTGAACTCAGGGCCTTGTATACTCTCAGCAGTTTCTGCCCAAGACTGGCACTCTACTAGTAGAGCCACTACTCCACTTCTGGCTTTTTAATAGCTAGTTGGACATAAGAACTTCTTGGATTTATGTACCTGGGATGGCTTCAAACTAGGATTCTCAGATCTCAGCCTCCTGAGTAGCTAGGATTGCAGGCATGAGCCACTGGTGCCAGATATATAGGTTATATATTTTAATTTTTCATCATTGAACTTCTTTAAAGAAAGTTGCCATTTATGGAGTACTCTAGCAGACCACTATGATAGCACAGGCTGTGACATGGGGTCACCAAGGAAGGGATGAGGAGATATAAAGATGTGTGATTAAGATGGACATTTGTGGATAAAGACGAAAATAGAAACGATGCCATTCAAAGAGAATCTCATAGGATGGATTGAAACTGGTAATGCTTTCTGCTCTCAAAAAGCAGAGGAAATTCATGAAATATGGCCCATGCTCAGCCAGCCCCCCAGACATGTGGTCATTGTAGACATTGTTAGGATAGAAAGGGTAGATTAGTGTCTGACTTCCAGAAAATACAGAGGCTCAAAAGGGCTGGCAAATGGCTTTAGAGGCAAAGTGAATAGAGTTGATTGGGAGAATCTCAGTGTAGTAAGCAAAGTTGGGGAGGAGGGACCTGTCTTGAAGACCAAGTCAGTTCTCAGTGGATTTTCAGGGAAAAAGAAGGGCGATGTCACCTGGGCCAATTGGAGAGCTGGGATACATCAAGAAGGAGGAGGCCTGAAGAATACAATAGGAGTGAGGATGGCTTTAAGGGCCTCTGCAAAGAACCTTGCTATCTCCTATTGTCTTTCCCCATTGAAGCACATAATCAGGGAGGGGCTAGGAACTACAAATAGGCAAACAGGGTGAGCAGAAGTCTAACCATTAACTAAGGATTGTAGTACTGTTTGATGTGGAATGAACACTTTCTAAAACTGACTTGGCATTCTGCATTTAAAGTGACTGTAGGATTTCACAGTCTGGGTGTCCTGGGTCAGAACAATTCCTAAGCCATTCCAAGCTTCATCCACGTATAGGGGAAAGCCAGCTGATCCCTATCCCCGAACACAAGCTTAAAGGTTAGTAAGGAATAAAATCAAAGTTGCTTTTATTCGCCCTCCGAGAGTTTCTTGTTTGTTTGTTTTTTTTGCTTATTAATATTTATTTATTTGATTGATTAATTCATGTTTGCAGTTCTGGAGATCAAATACAAGGACCTATAAATGTTAACCAAATACCAGTGGATCACACTGTGATCCCATATTAACAAACAACCAAACATATAACTAACTGCCTTCTAATTGCAAAGTTTCAGGAAATTGTTGTCAGTTCCTTTGGTCGTTGGGACTGTAATTACTGCTTCAGAGGGTGGAAGGGATGAGTTGTAGATATAGGTCCTTAATAATGTAGCTCTATATTTATCATACTTTATACGAATAACAAGATTATTCATTTGACAACCGAGTGGTCTTACATTGAACGTTGGTCCCAGTGGTCACATGCTTCCATTCTCGAGAAGGTACAGCTGCCTACCTCTCAGTGTGTCTCCAGGGATGCTCCTCCTGCAAACCGCTTTCACGTTCTCACATCTTTTAGGCTTTGCTTACATGGGAATCCCTACATGCTATTCCAGTTGAGAAGGGAAATCTATCTAAGGAAGTGTATGTCCATCTATGACAGAAATGCAGTTGCTCTCACAAACTAAGCATTTTTAATTCACACTCAAGGAAATGTTTTCATTTCACTAAGAACTGAAAATACAAACCAGGCCTGCTGGTGCCATCTGTAATCCCAGCGTCTTGATAGTGAAAGGCACGAGGACCATGAGTTCGAGGTCAGCCTGGGCAAAGTTAGTGAGACACTTATCTGAAAAAAGGAAGTAAAAACAAAAATGCTAGACCCATAGCTCCAGTGGCTTCTATTCTCATGAGAATGTTACTATGTCAATATGCCAATTACGCATGCACTTTAAAAAATTAGTATTCTCTCTGACCTTACAGAATTGGTCTTTGTTTTCAGAAGCAGGGCAAGCTGGAGTAATGAGGTCGTGGGGATACAGGTGATCTGAGAGTGTGGATGCCTAGAGCCCCACACAGGTGCTGCTGATCTCACCGGGCAGCTGTGCACAGCTGGAGAGCTCTTCCTCCCATAGCATCCTGCAGTGCCCTCTGCTGAGAAAACTCAACAGGGTGCTGCTAGTGGAGCGGCTGGGTGCTGGGAGGCACTTCAGTTCCTTCTGTTGAAGCTCCATCCAAAGGGTCAAGCTAAGTCTGGGAGAATGTAAATTGATACAGAATGCAGGGAGTTGTGAGATCCAAACCGCTTCCCACTGCATGTGTGTAGTTAGTTGTTTGGTGAATAGATGAATATACATCACCACATCTTAATAGGAACCGACCATTTGTTTCTCACTGATCTGCAGTGCATGTCTTTTCTTGGAACAGGAGGTAATGATGTATGAATTGGCTGGGCAAAAGTAAGACAGGAAAGTGGGGTAGGTGGGTGGAGTTGGTACTATGTCAGAACAAAGTGAAAGTTTATAGGGGATGGGAGGAAGACCTGGACTGTTTTGAGAGACTAGCTCAAAGGCAGACTTAAAATACCAGCAGGTAATAATAGTCTGAGTAGATACAATAGTCCAGTTATCTGTCTGGCAGCACTGCTTGAAGCATTGACCATCACTTACGTTAAAATCCACTGCTTCTAGGTGGCAGAGGAGAGAGTGTTCCTCCGAGTGTTTACTGAATAAGCAGTTGGTGCCTTGTGAGAATTTCCTGTTGCAGAAGTGTCTGTGGGCC